GATACATGGACACTGACCCCCCGGACACTAATCCCCCCACAGTCACCCCCAGGCCGCAGGCTTTGATTAGGGGCTATAAGCTGGGGGCAGATCTGAGATGAGCACTGAGTGACGTGTGGCCCCTGGGGCCCCCCACTCTGCTCTGCCATTTAGGAGGTGACAACACTTTTCTGAAATTACATTTTCTGCTTCCCCCATTGCTCCGCCTCCTGTCTGCTATTTGGTCTATAAATAAAGATGACCACGCCCACCTGTCTAAGCCGACCTTGCTACCTCCGCGTCTGTTCATGGCCACTCCCACAGTAAGCCTGATTTCAGATTTCAGCTGGTGTGTGGGGGGATTTAGTATACTGGAAGACAAGTGTCTGCGATTCCTTTATGAGCCAATGATTGGCCTGTATGAGGAGCACAGACAGTCCGACTTTCAGCTGCTCTGGATGGTTTCAGGTCTCCAACTACCTGAACTGGATGGTGCGGAATCTGTCGGACATGGAGATCCAACTGGGCGCCATCAAGAGGATCCACGGCCTGCTGAAGACCGAGCCCGAGAACTACAGCGGCCTCCTGTGTGAGTATCTGCAGCTGCTTCCTCCATCACATGACCTCATGAATAATTAATGAGCGTTCTGTCCGTTCAGCCCCCTCGCAGATCCCACAGAACTGGCCGGACTGCGGCGAGATCCAAATCCAGAACCTGAGCGTGCGCTACGACAGCTCGCTGAAACCCGTCCTGAAACATGTCAACGCGCACATCACGCCGGGACAGAAGGTGAGGAGACAGCAGAGGATTCTGGGTACATGTGTCGTGCCTTGTGTATAGAAACATGTAGATTTGGCCCCGCCCCCAATCAGTGACACAGTGAGGAAATTCTCTGCCAGACCCCCATTATCTGCGTCTTGTCATTGCAGATCGGGATTTGCGGGAGAACCGGCAGCGGCAAATCGTCCTTCTCGTTGGCGTTCTTCAGAATGGTGGACATGTTCCAAGGTGAGGACGGGATATGAATGGCGCCGGTCTCCCGGGGCACGCCGTGTGCCATTAATACAAGCCATTGCGCTAAACCACACGGGGGCGCTCCGTCCAATCAGATCATCCGGAACGTCTGCCCAGCCCCCGCTCCACACAGGACACAAAGAGTTAATACCGATCAATATACACATATCAATCCGCCGAGGTGACGACTGATACATGGGAGGGGCTGCGAGTGGGCGGTTCCAACAAATTTAGGGGTGGGACATGCCAGAAATTGGGCGTGGTCTTGGTGTTACTGTCATATATGGGCGGGGCACTGGGACTGATATGTGGTCATGTCCGTCCTTCCAGGGAGGATCATCATCGACGGCATCGATATCGCCAAACTGCCGCTGCAAACGCTGAGATCCCGCCTCTCAATCATCCTGCAGGACCCCTTCCTGTTCAGTGGCACCATCAGGTAGGTGGGGGAGGGGGGAGGATGGGGATGAGCACCGGCTTTTTTGTCTGAATGAATCTTTGCGCACTATACCGGGAGGGCGTGGCTCCTTCTTATCATGGCGCCCATTGGAGGGAACACCGGAATAATAATACGGTAAGAAGGACGCCGGTTACCGCTCTGAACCAAAGCGCGTGCTGGCCGCTCTCATACAGTCCGCTGACCCCGCCCACAGGGGATCCGTCCCACTGATCACATTGAGGAATTTGGGACATTTCTTTCACTTTTGTTGCTCCCAATATTTGGAAAGAAACAATATAAAGATTTTATCTCCATGTTTTATATTTGGAATAAGTTGGCGCGATCTCTGCGCACGCGGCATTCCGTTCTATATACTCCTGTACACCGCGGAGACGTTATTAGCGATCTTCCTTTACCGATTATTGAGGTCTCACCAAATCCATTTCCCCAAGTATTGGCCCCTCCCCCTACGCGAGGTCCCCGCTGTATAGGATGAGGCCCCTCCCCCTCCAGGTCCTCCAATCCCCTCCGTGGCCCCCGGTGTATATGATGAGGCCCCTCCCCCTCCAGGTGTTCCTCCAATCCCCTTCGTGGTCCCCGGTGTATAGGATGAGGCCCCTCCCCCTCCAGGTGTTCCTCCAATCCCCTCCATGGCCCCCTGTGTATAGGATGAGGCCCCTCCCCCTCCAGGTGTTCCTCCAATCCCCTTCGTGGTCCCCGGTGTATAGGATAAGGCCCCTCCCCCTCCAGGTGTTCCTCCAATCCCCTCCATGGCCCCTGGTGTATAGGATGAGGCCCCTCCCCCTCCAGGTGTTCCTCCAATCCCCT